GTGAATACAAATTTTGAGTTTCAGTGTTGTGGCCATTTAATTTATATACATATCCATTTTTTTTTTTCACGGCTTAGAGAATGTCTGGTAATGTAAAAGGGAGTGGCATAGACGCATTAAGTCCGCGGTTGGCCCCACCCCGTGTATTCTGCGGCAAGTGTATGACCGCTTTCTCTAGTGGTGTTTGTTAAGTATTTATTGGTAAACTCCGGGCTTTTTTCTTTGGTTTCTGTAAGGCAATAAATAGCGGCTTCGTCAGCCAATTAAAAATAGATCCCTCGATCATTTTTCTCCCTCCCTGTGCGTCTTCGTGTATTAACATGTGTTGAAAAAATCGTCTTCTGTACATTTATGCAATTTTAGTCTAGAAATCCACGCACGGGAAAATGGTCTAGCTCTTGCAGTATTTATTGCTTCCCCTTTTCCTTTGTTAGGGCAATTTTTAGTGCCAGATATTAAGCCGAAACGAAAAACTGCCAAAAAATTATTTCCCGTTTTTAGTTTCTCCCTGCATATAAAACTACAATTTTTCAAGTGTTAAAGCGTATGCTTTACTTAAACTTGCGTAATCGATGTCAAACGGTTATAAGAGCTCTCTAAGTACTCCCGAAAATTTCATTTATTCGTTTGCCTTTATTTTTCACATACATTACTGTCGCTGGTTTGAAGTTATTTAATCAGTCACGGTTACGTTTGACACTGTGTGGAATGAGAATTTCAGTTTATTCAACCTGTGTTAGTATATTTACACCCACCTGACTTCTTTTTTTCAAATTGTGGACCTCTCTTTCATGCATGTCCGTGTGAGGTATCGTCTCAAGTGGTAAACGTTCAAAGAGTTTACTAAGAGTTCTCAAAAGCGTATTACATATTACATCAAAATTTGCTTGGCTTTTGCAAATTTCTATCGTTTGACCACTGTGAAGTAACGGTGTCCTTCAGGCAATAGAGAGATTAAGTATCGTGTTTACGGCATTCAGCAACGATGGTCACGTGACCTTGTTCGCCTTATGCATTACCTAACTAAGGACGAATGTTTTCTCCTCGGTATGAAACGTTGAGGGTATAGGAAGATATACAACTAAGTTGAACTCATATCAGTCAGGCCTTTTTATTAAGGGAGGGGAACGGGCAGGGAATGGTATTTCCCTTGCACTTTGACTGCAAACTTTTGTATTATTCAAATTATAAATTGATGACCATATGAGTGCTCTCATTTGAGACAACGTCTAGTATTAAGATTATCTCCCTCAAGACAACACGCGCTTGCCGCGAAATTAAGGTCATGTTGTTTCTCTTTAAACTTAAATGCGGTCTCTCTTCCTTGGGCCCGTTTCAGTTATAACTGGTTGCAGAGATAAACGGAGTTTTTGTTAGTCGGCACAAGACAACAGCTTGATAAATTAGATTCGTGTTCCATAACTGTGGGCAATAATCGTATCGGTCCAAGCCCATGTGTTAGAAACCTTGGATCGTGGTTTGACAGCAACTTAAGCATGAGTGATCATATAAACAAGGCTTGTAATGCGGTATTTTATCATTTACATAACTTGAGACGTATTAAGTGTTAATTACTTTGGTTCATGCTTTTATATCCAGCCGTCTTGACTATTGTAATGGTTTATTGTCTGGCTTACCAAAGGCGCAGATCGCTAAATTACAGCGTGTACAAAATGCAGCAGCAAGACTTATTATTGGCATTGGAAAGTTCACTCACATTACACCGGCGCTTTATGAGCTGCACTGGCTGCCGGTTTCTTTGCGTATTGACCATAAGATTTTACTTTTGACTATCAAATGTATTTATGGCCTAGCGCCAACTTATCTTAGCGATCTTATTAGTATAAAATCGAATTCATTATATAATCTTAGGTCTACTGGTAAGCTCCTATTGGACCATCCCAAGGGAAAGATGCTTACGACATTGAGAGCAAGATCATTCTCAGCAGCAGCTCCGAAACTCTGGAATGAGCTACCTGTGGAGCTTCGTCAAGCAACATCACTTACCAGTTTTACATCTCGACTTAAAACCTATCTTTTTAAGATGTATTTTTTATAGTTTGTAACTTAGTTTATTTTATTATCACGGTAATGTATTTTCGTTTTCTTTTAAACATATGATTGTAAAGCGCTATTGATCAGCACATGTAAATACGCGCTATATAAATTGGTAAATTATTATTATTATTATTATTATTATTATTATTAAGTGGGTTGGGCCCAAGCCTATTCGGAGCCTCTTTTTGTGCATAAAATGTGTAAAATTGAAATTAATAACATAAAATCCCATAACAATTTCGCAAAGATCTTTGCGAATAATTCTTCAGCATTTTTTTTTCCAAAGGGCCAACCCATTTGAGGCTTACCGTAGCATTAGTGCCTAATCCCACTCCAGTGGAGTAGGGCTTAAATCCATAACTAGTTTCTTAAGAATTCTTCAGTTATGAAGATGGCTGGGGCTCAGGTATGAACAAGGCTGTCAACAGTTAAGCGGGTTGATAAAGTGGAACCTAAAAATGACAACCTCGATATAACGAAGTCCTTCCAGGATCAATATTCCACCCTCCATTAATAATAAAATATGTGGAAAATAACCTCGATATAACGAAACCTCGCCATGACGAACATATTTTGCCGGTCCCCTAACCCTTCGTTAAGTATAATAAAAAATTGGTTCCGCTGACCAGAAAGCTATCAAATACATGTAGCCATAGTAGAGGAGACTGGTTAGGAAACCCGGCAAACATCAAAGTTGAAAACAATAGTGCTGTAGGTTATGTTGGAAGCTCCCTGACCGTGCACAATCCTTTGTTTTCTGTTCACAAATTATGACTGAATGAATTAAATGCAATGTTTCTATTGGTCAATAACTTCATACTGATAGGAATGCTACTGAACGTTGTGCACGGTCAGGTCCAAAAAAGCTAAAAAAAAAACCGATAACAAAGGGTTTACCTACCATTCCTCTTCTAACTTTCGATAACATCATTGCTATGTCTAATTCACATTTTCAAGAAAATCAACTCGATTATTGATCCAGTCAAACCCCTGTAATAAGGAAACCGGGTGACACGAATGGCAGGAGGCAGTTTGGCCAAGTGGATAGAGTGGTGGACTTATTATGTGAAGGCTCTAGTTCAAGTCCTCAACCCGGATTTTATATCCATAGTCCTGACTTCAATTCCTCGCCCACCCGTCACAAAATGCTTTGCCTCCTACCAGCTGAGGTTGTTATTATTGTTATGTTTCATTTGAATTATTTATTTCATTATCCCTGAAAAGCCCCATAATGGAAGAGACTAATTTAAGTATATATCATTATCATGATTATCTTTGCCCCAGTTGTTGAAAAAAATTCTTGAAACGAAGCCAACCTACCCTCCTCAAAGTGGAAACGTCGTTCGGAACGTTATATTAGGTTCTGCCTTACCTAAGTTTCTGTTACTCGGGCTTCAATGCGTTGAATCCCGGTAACTCGAACTTTGAAGGAAAACGAAAAACAGTTCGAGTTATCGGGGTAATTTCAGTAAAAGTTTGATCAAGGGAAAGGAAATTTAGTTCGAGTTAGCGTGGATTCGAGCTATCGAGGTTTTACTGTATATACACATAGGAGCTCGTT